CCAATAAAATGTTGTTAGAGATTTTTATGTTGATTTAAGAAAAATTATATTCAACATATCATATTAAACTATCTATTTTTATATAAAATTCTAACGTAGAGTTTCTACTTGAATATTCTTTGTCTGTATTTATTAAATATGAAAATCGTAGGAAATACTTATCTTATGATTGTCGATATTTATAATAAAGTTATTCTATTTTATCTTTATTATTTAGTTGGACAGAGAATTTTTGATCAATCTATTAAGTAATTGGAAAAGTATAGATATCGATAGAAATAGAAATTCGTAATGGAGTGATAGAAAAAACGATGATCTATCTTTCTGAGCTTCATGATCATTCTTCACCTAATATCATAATAATAAAATTCCCACGAAATTTTGTTTGGCTATGATATGTAAGGATAAAATTAGTTCATATTGTCTTCTATGTACACTCTCGTCTTGATCTTCTCTTTGTTCTTTTTCTTTCTTTTCTTTATTCTTTATTTTTGTCTCTACATGGAAATATTCACCAATGTTTTAATATGCAGATCGCAGTACAATAAGATCACGAGCCCTTTTAAGGTTGCTATATTTTAATAGTCTTCTGTTAGTGGATGACACATGGGCTAATCATGTAAGCATTCCAATATTAAAGCGGATTTGTTAATACACATACTGAGTACCACAGGTGTCCACAGGACAGGGTAAGGTAAGATTGTATACCATGAAAACTGAAAAATCAGGTTTTCGACTTCATATCCTAATAACGCATTTTCTCAGTCTTCGAGAGTCAAAAATTATAATAGATTCACAAGTACGGTGCTAAGAGGCATTCAGAATTTTCCTCTGTAGATCATCATCTGACTTAATATGATAGAATTAAAAATCAATAAAACGAGTATTAGAACATTCTTTTTGTATTGCTTGTTCTCGTTTTCTTACCAGATTGATGCGAGAATTAAGTTGTGAGTTCTATATCATTTCATTCGAAATACGATATTTGGCTAATATCTACTCTTGATTTTACTGCTACATTAAATACGTCTTTATCTTGCTTTCCCGTCACTTCACTATATCTTTGTCAAATTTCTATATTGCTGAGCGATTACAACAATCGGTCTCTTGTTTGAACTCGACAAGAAGAAAAAGTCAATGGAATTTTCAGAATTTTGTAAGAGTCACCATTTTCTTAGTTTTATTTTAATCCATAACCCATATTTCGCTTTTTGTACTCTCTCTTGAATATTTTTTGGATGAAGTTCTATAGTGAATTCGATGGATCTAAATTATGCATATTATATCATTTACTTTGCTTATTTTTGCTTTCGAACTCGATTGGAAATTATAGTTGAAACAGTTTTCAATTCAACAGGGTACCCTGCCTTGCCCTACTCTGTCATTGGAACAGCACAGGAGAGGGCAGGGCAGGACACGAAAAAAATCACCCTGTGAATACCTCTGCTGAATACTATTTTGATGAAGCATTAGATGCTAGCATTGCTTTGACAAATTCATTTTCTGCTAAAATATAAATGAAATTTGTTTTGAAAGAATACAAAAATCTACCCCCATTATAAAGTAATTGATAAAAGACATTCGAATAGATCGATCAAGATAAAACTGGTAAAATATATAAATCAATGTAGAATGCTTTGAAGCGAATTTGTTTCATTTCAATATTATAG